GGCTTGTCTCATGGTTGGTGGAGAATGTGGTCTCTGTTGGCAAATGTCCCCTGTGCTTATGAGAAGAATGTGTCCTCTGCTGTGTTGGAGGGGTGTTCTATAATGTCATTTAGGTCAGAGTGGCTGACAGTGCCGTCCAGGGCTTCTGTATCCTTACTCATTTCTGTCTGGTTTTTCAATCAATTATCAAGAGAGTTGAAATCTTTGACTGTGGATTGTCTATTTCTCCTTTCAGCTCTGTCGGTTTTTCTTTGTGTATTTTGAAGCTCTGTGGTAGAAGCCATGACTCAAATGATACATAACTATTAAGGATAGTTTTGCCTTCCTGGTGTGTTGGCTCCTTTATTATGAAATGACCCTCTTTCCCTGGGAAAATGCTTTGAAAGCAGCAGTGTTGGTCCTGGCCTGTGCTCTCCCCTACCTGGACACCACGCGAGTGTGCTGCTCTCTGCAGGTGAGGTGCTGTCTGGTGGGGCCTGCCCCCCAACCCTGACCAGAGGCCTGCTGGGGCATCAGAGAACGCCAGAACTGAGAGACCCTGAGTTCCTGCTAGTCCGCCCGCCCAGCTGCCTGTTTGAGCTCACCCTGGCGCTCTTGGAGAAGCATGAGATGAGCGGCGGAGTGGGAGGCCCCAGACTCACCACCTGGTCCTCGCGTGCTGGAGCAGTGTCATTGCTGCCCCTTCCAGGTACCCATACACCCTTCCCATCCCTGCTGCCCAGCCTCGTCCAGAGTGGAGTTTTTTCTAAACCTGCTGGGAGGACACCTGATGGGGCAGTCCGTCCATCCCAGCCTCGCCTCTACTAGACCAAGGCCAGTCTGCGTGCTTAGAACGTGCTGGTGTCAGCAGAAAACAAACACCATAGAAGAAAAACCACGCTGTTCCTATAGCCACTCTTATTTCCTTTGGTGTAGGCACAACATACTGTATTTTTCTCCATTCTTTACTTTTTGCCATATCTCTGGGCTTCCTGTAGTGAGCATAGAGTTAGGTCTTGCCTTTTTCTCCATCTGACAAGCTGCCTTTTATTGGGTAACTACATTGAACTAGTAAGGACGTTAATGTGACTATTGGTGTGGTTGGGTTTAAACCCACCAGCTTGCTCTTTGTTTTCTATTTATCCCATTTGTTTCTTCCGGTTTCCTTCTTTTCTTCTACCTTCTTTTGGGTTAATTATTTGTATGATTCCATTTTATCTCCTTTATTAGCTTCTTGGCTCTTCCCCTTCATTTTATTTTTTGTGTTTGCTTTGAGGATTACTGCCTACATCTTCGGTTTATGCCAGTCAACCTTCCCATGACACTGTACCATTTCACGATGGTCCCCTTCCGTGTCCCCTTCTTGGTCTCGGTGCTATTGTCATATTTTAATTCTTTTAAATTTTCCCTTAACATTCAATTATATTTTTAAAATATAGTAAAAATCTTTTATATTTGCCGCCATATTTAGTAATTGTTGTGATGTTCATTCCTTTATGTAGCTCCAATTCTCCATCTACTATTCTTTTGCTTCTGCCTGGAGGAATTCCTTTAACCTCTCTTGTAGTAGTGATCTGCTAATGATTAATTCTCTTAGCTTTTGAGTGTCTGAGAAAAATCTTTATTTTGCCTTATTTTTTACAGTTTGATTAAGGTAAAATTGACATAAAAATTAAGTACTCATTTAAAGTGTATAATTTGGGGCTGGCCCGGTTGCACAGTGGTTAAGTTCGCTCGCTCTGCATTGGCCGCCCTCGGTTTACAGGTTTGGATCCTGGGCGTACACCTGCACACACCCATCAAGTCACGCTGTGGCGTTGTCCCACATACAAAGGAGAGGAAGATTGGCACAGATGTTAGCTCGGGGACAATCTTCCTCACCAAAAAAGTAAAATAAAATAAAAAATAAAGTGTATAGTTTGACAAGGGTTAACGTTTGTTAACATATTGATAACCCATGAAGCCATCTCCTCTGTCAAGATAATGAACATGTCCATCACCCCCAAGTTCCCTCGTGCCCCTTTGTAAGCCCGCCCTCCTGCCCCTCCCTACCAATCTACTTTTCTATGTTTTCTAGAATTTGATGTGAATGGGATCACTGAGTTCAGTCTTTGCAGTTGTTTGGATTCTTTCACTCACTATATATATTTTGAGATTCATCCATGTTGTTGCGTGTGTTAACATGGTTCCTTTTTATTGCTGAGTGTCACCTTTTTTTGGTGACAAAATGCATGACACAAAATTTGCCATTTTAACCATTTTTAAGTATATAATTCAGTAGCATTAAGTACATTCACGTGTTATATAACCAGCTCCACTGTCTGTTTCCAGAACTTTTTGATCATCCTCAAATCTTGTCTTCTGTAGTACGTAATCTGCTGTTAATACCATCCGGTGCGTTTTTCTTTTCAGACATTATCTTTTTTTTTATCATTAGTAGCTTGACTTAGGTCTTCTTAATATCAAACACATCTCCCCTTATAATGCTAATTTTTCCTCTGCATTTCTGAGTATATGGATATACAATATTTTAATGTCCTTGTCTATTAATTCTATCATCTATGTCATTTCTGGGTCTGTTTTTATTGATTCCTTTTCTCTTCATAAGGTCATATTTTCTGGATTTTTTGTACATACCTGATAAGTCTAGATTGGATACCAGACATTATGAATTTTACATTCTTGGCTGCTAGATTTTCTTGGTGATCCTTTAACTATCTGTAGGCTTTTTTCTGGGGTGCTATTAATATACCTGGAGACAGTTGATCCTTTAAGGCTTGCTTTTCAGCTTTCTCAGGTGGGTCCAGAACAGCCTTGAGTGTAGGCCTCGTTCGGCCCCACTTCTGAGGAGCCCATTCAGTGTTTGTGAGGGAGGGGCTTTCCAGCATGGTGGCTGTGAGCTCAGGAGTCCCTCCCACACGTGTGCTGAGCAGGCCTCAGCTGTGGACTCCCTGGGGCTCCCCGCTGGTCTGCACAGAGCGCTTTCCCTGCAGCTCTCTCCCCTCCAGCATCGGCACCGTGGTTTCCTGCTGCCCCGGCCGCCCTGAGCCCCGAATCCTCTCTTCTCCACTCGGGGGCTCCCTGGGCTTGGGGTCTCCCTCCCTCTGCTGCAGCCTGGAAACTCCTCAGCAGGAAACTTCTGGGGTGGGAATGTGGCTGACTTTGTTTCTCATCTATGAGCAATCACTGTCTCTGCTGCCTGTTGGCCAGTGACCAAAAACTGTTATTTCAAATATTTTCTCTGATTTTGTAAGCCATTGCTTAAAACAGGGTGGTAAATCCATCCTTAGGTGACAGCAAAATTACTTGACTGTTTATTTTATATTAACTTTTAACATTACTTATTTTATTCTTTTTGTGAGGAAGATTGGCCCTGAGCTAACATTTGTTGCCAATCTTCCTCTTTTTGCTTGAGGAAGATTGTTGCTGAGCTAACATCGGTGCCTGTCTTCTTCTACTTTATGTAGGACACCACCACAGTGTGACACAACGAGTGGTGCATAGATGTGTGCCCAGCATCCAAACCTGCAAAATCCAGGCCGCTGAAGCAGAGCGTGTGAACTTAAACATTATGCTACTGGGCTGGCCCCAATATTACTTATTGATGGCTTGGAAGATGAGATTATAGTGGCTGTATTCCTATTCATAGCTCAAGTGTGTTTCTATCCTTGTTGCATAGGCAGGTGTTCAGATATGAACTGATCATTGGCAGGTCATGGGATGTGGTGTCTGAGAAAACCTTCAGACACCAAAATATTTTACAAACATTAATTTATGATATCAGGTCTTGGTTGCATGTCATAGAGTGACGACTGCCTTGAAGACTAGGGTCTCATGTTTATGTTCTGGTTCCCAGCGCGAGTGCATCTCTATCCACGTGGGGCAGGTGGGGGTCCAGATCGGCAATGCCTGCTGGGAACTGCACTGCCTTGAACATGGAATTCAACCTGATGGTCAGATGCCAAGTGATGAAACCATCGGCGGTGGGGATGACTCGTTCAACACGTTCTTCAGCGAGACTGGGGCTGGCAAGCACATTCCCAGAGCCGTGTTTGTGGACCACCGTGGTCGGTAGGTTCTTGGGCACTCCGGCAGCTGTCCTGGGAGGGTAGGAGAGCCTAGCTAAAGCCCCACATGAGCTCCTTTGAATCCCTCTGCAAAAAGGAGGGAGGTACAAGTGTATGCCCATAGCCACATTAGGGGAGAAACTGGAGGGTTAGTGCTTGAAGTGTCTGTGGAACTCAGGCTTCTAATTAGGAAAACCTATTGTAGGGTCGGCCAGCAGGAAAATGGGCTGGTGATAGATCCACTCGTGGCCACCTCTGCCCTGTTCAGCTGGTTGTGTAGACCCTGTCTGCAGGGTGCCCGGGCTCTGGTCCCTCCTTATGCTGTGCGCTCCCTCAGGCTGGTGCACGAGTCTTGACCTGCATCTTAGACACACTGCTGCCCTGCTGGAGTGGGCGGAGCGCCACCTACATCTGTAAGGAGCCACTGCTTACGTGACATGACCTGGGGTGAAATAGTCAATATTTCCAATCCAAGCTTTCAAAGCACAAAGATTTACTAAATTCTAGGAAAACTGAGTTAGGTTTTTCAATTGAATTTGCCATTTTTCAGGCTTCTCCATTAGTGGGACATGTGGACTAAAGTATAAAAGCTTAGAGCTGGAGTTTTAAAATCTGAGGTCCGTGCAAGTAGGGGGTGTCCACCAAATCCTAAAACTGTCAGTCAGATGTGTAAGGTCAGGACATTTTTGTGGGAAAAGGGTTTTCTTTGGATTTTCCACGGCATTTATGCCCCTCAGAAGGTTAGAAGCCATAGGTTATGACATAGTTCATCTTTGTCCTCACATCCACGGTCTCAGTAAAAGCATCGTACTTTTCACTTTAAGCAAAATGTGTTGATGTCTATTTATAAGAGACCTGGTAATATGGATATTTTCTCTCAGACCCAAACCTGAGGTCCTGGAGGGGGAAGCCACTGGTTTAAGTCACTTGGTTAGTGCAGCTGTAGCATAACCAGGACCAGCGACAAAACTGATTCTACATCTTTGTGCCTTACCATATTCAACAGGTGATAGAGAACGTCTTGAACAGACTCTCAGCTTTTCCGAAAGGTTTATTACCAGCTGGAGGAAACCACACAGAGACTCTGTGAGGGGGCTGGGGAGCCCACAGTAGGGCGGCAGGAGTCTCTGCCCATCTCAGGTGCTGCCCCTAGTGGGGCTCTTCCCCGGTGCGCCCCCCTTGGGCAGCCTGGTAGCACTGGGCTGGCGGGGCATCCTGTGGCTGGACCCTTCCCGGCTGCCGCGTTCTGCCAGTGCTGGGCCTCCACCGAGAGCACTGCTGCCTTTGTTTCTCCCTGAGCAGACGGAGAACACCACGGTCAGGAACCAGGGCAAGCTCCACAGTTGCAGCACACCTACTGTTTGTGTTCTCTGAGCGACGTTTACGTTGAGTGCGTTTCTGTCATGGTCCTTTCAGCCAGGGACCCTATGTCAGCCCTGAGTCCTGAGTCCTCCAAGAGGAGTCCTCGGCAGAGTGCAGGAGGCCCTCCTAGGACAGGGACAATGTCAGGAGTGATGGGGAAAGTTCTAGTGGTCAATTTCGGGGAAGGGAAGCTCAGCCTGTTGACTCGTGCCCTGGAAAGCCTACCCAGCTGGCCGTGACTGCCAGTGGCCCTGCCCCCAGGCACTCTCCCCTCTAGACAGCCTGTGGCCTGCATCTGAACCTATCAGGAAACACAGCAGTCATCGAGCACAGAAGTCAGGCTCTTAGATTTGATCTGGAAAGCTCTTTCTTACATTTCGTGCCCTCCCTCAGTATTCTGCAAACATTCAGTGGTCAAGCTTCCTGTTCCCAGAGTCGTTCCTGGCTCCTGCCGAGGCTCGACCTCCAGAGCCTGCCCTGAGCACTAGGTCGTCACGCTCAGAGAGAGGTTCCACAGACGGAGCCCGTGGGTCCAGACCCTCCTTGATTTATCCCTTGCTGACTTTATTCTCTGTGAAGACAGCTGGGAAGATCTCCAGCCACGCCGGGACCAGAGCTGGATTAAAGGAGTAGCTGCCCTGGGCTCAGGGGGTTGACAGCATCAGCGAGACTGAGCGGACTCCATGAGGACAAACGTGCCCGGGAATAGGCTCGCCTGCTGGGTCCCAGTCCCTCCCCATTGGGCCTGCCCCAGCCAGGATTCTCCTCTGCTCCGGCCTGGCAGGGTCTGCCCTGCAGGCTCTGATCAGGGTACGGGTACCCCGCGTGACCCCAGCCTCCATCCCGGTTCTCAGTCCAAGAGCCTGCAATGGGGTATTGTGAGTTCTTGGAGGAAAGACTCAAGGAAGGGTCTCAGGGGCCTGTTAGGTCACTTCAGTGTCACCGTTTGTCACCTTGAGCAAGCGGAGGCGTCTGCATTTGAGACTCTGCAGAACCTGGCGCCTCCAGAAGGAAATCAAATTCACTTTCATGCCAATACTGACAACTGAATTCTCCCCAGGATGCCCGCAGGGATAGGACAGACCTTCTTAAGAGAATTTCTGGAAAGTTCTTCCTCAGTGAGCAGGGGTCTTTACTGCCCGGTGGGTGGGGAGGGTTACAGTGGTGCCATGCTTGGAACTCTGAGGGTTTTGGTTTTCCCCGTGGGCTTCACACTCAAGTGCTCGCATACACTTGATGTGACAAAGGTGTGATAACAGGTTACCCAGGACCAAGGGGGAGCAGACAGGAGCGTGTGTCGTGGGTGAAGCTGGGCCAAGGTGACTCACAAAAGACAGAGAGAACCATCACCCCCATTTCCTTTGGTGCAAATGCCAATATTCTGGTCCCATTGCAAGGACCCCGTCGTCTCCTACAAGAGCGTGGGCCCCACCACTCTGCAGTGTCTCCCAACATGTTAGTGCCCTCCTGAGGCCACAGCCCCGCCCCAGGCCTGGCCAGGCAGAATTAGGGCTTCTGTGGCCTCTGGCCTAACCCTGGGTGCTGAGGTGCCCACGAACTCTCCACGAGGGGCCTTTCCTGAGGACTCGGGAGTACCGCCAGGCACAGCTGACCCCCACCCAGTGGCGGGTCCCAGGCGTGGGCCTGACTGTGAAGCCAACTTGTCTTCAGCCTGCCACACATGAGAGCTTCCTCACCCCTCAGTATAATGACGAGGCTGTTCTAGAAACTCAAGGATGAGAGGAAAGTAGAGATGAGCAAACAACTTTCATCTTTAAATCTGACAAGGCCCATCAACCCTGGACATGAGAAACCAATGTAACTTTGAGAAGGCACTGAGAACCCATCTAGCAACGAAAGCAGGCCATCACCCAGCTCTGTGCGGTTTTGGGGGCCCTTCAGGAATCACGTGTTCCTGGGATTAGCGGGGGCGGGGGGACCCACTCAGGCCTCTTCATTTCCTGCACGAGGATGGGAGGTGGAGAATGGTCTGCAGGGCCTGGCAATGCAAAGACCTGCTTTGTCAAGCCCAGCTCAGCCACACACTCCCAGGGGGACCCAGCAAGGGACATCTTGGAGCTGATCACACCTGCCCCAGCTCCCCCTGAAAGGGTTATTAGGGTCAGAGGGAATGGAGGGTGGGGCTGAGCCAAAGGTGACTGCAGGCTCGGGTGGGGAACAGTGGGGACATGCCTGGTTCCCGAGGGGCCCTCTTAGGGGTCAAAGACAGACGGTGATCACTGAATGTAAAAACCACTCCAGCTTATCGTCCTCAACGTCAGTGCTCCTCCCATCCCTAAGGCCAGCTTGAGACCACTCTGTGTTTTGTGATGCTCTAGTGAAGCAAAACCCTAAAATACACCAGCCTGTCAGCCATCCGTGACTCAGGGACCCTTGAAGCTGAGGAGCCGGCCAGAGCCGGTGGACCCACTCTGCCATTTCTCTTTGGCGTGGCCCCCGTCATCCCCACTCACCAGCCCCTGCAAGCTCTGCCAGCAGAGCTGCTTGACAAGGAGGGTTTATAAAAAGCCCAGCGGAGCTGCTGCTCCCATCCCTTCCCGCTGGTCCCCAAAGTGCTCTTTCTCCTTCTAGGTGGGAGCGCCCCCTCGTGGGGAAATGGGCCAGAGGGGCCACAGAGGCAAATATTAGTGACTGACTGAGGGTGTACTGAATGCATGTTGTGTGAGAGGAAAAGGACAGGGGGCAGGGAGGATAAGGGAGAAAAGAGGAAAGGACAGAACACATGACTGTCCCGCTGCAGAAGCGCTCTGCAGCTGGGCAAGGGAGCACAGCGGCCACCCCAAGATCTTCAAGGCCGGGTGACAGGGTGGGGACCACGGCAAGTGGGTGGCCAGGGCGGTCCGTCATCTGCCTGCAGAGCCCACCGGAAGGTCTGCACCCACCACCCAGAACTGCTGCCCTCTCTGGCTGGGCACACAGTAGGGGCTTAATCAGTGCTTCCAGAACACATTACAGACATAATGACAGACCGACGTGCACCAAGGACATGCACACGTGCACTTTAACCCTGAACTGAGCCTCCACTTCTTGGGACGGTGTTCTCCTATGTAGACGTGCTCAGTGACCCCCTCCCTGCACGTACACACAGCCCTGATTTGGTGTTTTGGGGAGAAGTGTTATCGTGAATGTTCTGGAGCAACGCTGTCAATGGAAATGAGATGCAAGCCACATGTGTAATTTTAAATTTTCTGGTAGCCAAAGTAAAAAGAAACAGGAAATTAATTTAAATAATATGTTTTAATTAGCCTCAAATATCCAATATATTATCATTTCAACATGGGATCAGTATAAGAATTACCCGTAAGGTGTGACATCCCTTCTGTGAGCCCATCCCTCGGCATCCGGGCACGTGGTGGGCACCCACACACCCAGCGCGTCTCACTGCACCAGCCCCGTGGCCTGTGGCTCCCGCATCAGACAGCATAGCTCTGTGTGAGCTCACGGCTTCCGCGCCCAAGCTCATCTCACACGTCCTGGAGGGAGATCTTTTTAAAACATATAGTTTCCCTAAACTTCAACAGGGAACACTCAACTGAACGTAATTTTTCCTCAGTGACCTCACATCTTCCCCAGGACAAGCATTCCCCCTCTGTGCTTTCAGGGTCTCCTGTTTCCCCCTTTTCTGCAGGAAAAGGCAGAAATGAGCAAGCTTGTCAGTGGCAGTCCCCACAGGCCACCTCGATGGCCGGGGGTCAGGAACCCAATCAGAGTCAAGCCCCTGAGTGGGGCTTTAGCCCTTGCCCTGGAGCAACTCCACACCCCAATTCTCTGGGAAACCTAAGGCCAGTGAGGGCCACAGCCCAAACCCCCTCATCCTCCTAGGCTGCCACAGTCCCCACAACTGGCTCACTCTGACAACTGTTATTTTCTCCACCCTAGATCCTGCCATTAATAAGGTGGCCGAAAGGTCTCTGTGCACAGATGCTGTGAACATGGAGTCTCAGAAATGTGTCTTGTCTGGTGGCCTCTACCTCTCGGCCACAGTGCATTGCTGGCATGGCCCCTCATCGGCCCCACTCCCCTCCACCTCCTCCCCATCAAACCCTTCCCCAGGCTGCCCTAACCCCCACCAGGCATCTCCCCAGGGCCTCCGTGTCCTGGTATCCTGGCTGCTGGCCGCCCAGCCCAGCAGGGCCCAAGGCCTGAGCACTTGAGGAGAAAACGACTCTGTGGAGGCCAGGGCTCCACTCCTGTCCCCATGCTCGGGGCTTCCTCCCCACCTCCCTCAGAGCCCCCTCTGACCCTCCCGACCCCTCTATGCCAGTGCTCCCAGTGCCATACCCATGGCCCACCTCCTGACCCTCCGCTCTCTCCCTCTTCCCACACCCCCAGCTCAGGCCAGGCTCCCACCAATGGGCTGCATCCACGCTCTGTATCTGCCTTCCCACCTGCCCTTCCCGCTCAGTGCCCTCCCACCACCCCACCTGCAGGGCTGCAGGGCTGCAGGGCAAGGAGACTGCAGCTGGCCCAGAGGGCCCCCACCCCCCTCGGCCTGCTTAACCCTTACTGCTCCAGCAAGGCCTGCTGCACTGGCCTCCTTCTGTCTCTATTACTGTCGGTTTGTCTAGCCATCTGCCTCTCTGGACCAAGAACATGTCCATCTTGCAGTCCCACTGTGCCCCCACCACTGACAGCCAGCCTGGCACCCAGTCCTGAGAAGTGAGCCCCAACATCCCTCGAGGCAGGAGGGCTCTGTTCCCGGTTTCTCCCTCCCCCTGGAAACTCAGCCATCGATTCCTCAGCCCAGCCTCTAGTCCACACACCCCTCCCCTGACCTGTCCCTCGGCCCTTCCCCACTCCTCCCTGGCCCGAGCTCCAGGTGGCACCTGGAACTTGGAGGCTGGTGATGGGGGGAGGGGCGTGAAGGAGGGCAAAGCCAGAGCACCTGTGGGATCTCAGGCCCTCCCTCACACACCCCTGGAAACACCTGGAAGGTACCCCAGCTCAGGAACCAGGCAGAGAAGAGTCACAGTGCATCCTCCAGGCTGCCCACCCAGGTGGCTGACAGCATCTCAGAGGCCAAGGTGTTTCTCACGCCCAGGGCTTTGCTCTCCAGAGCACACCATGCTGTCCCTTCCCTGCCCCTCGGTCTGCTGTCCTCCTCTGGGGTGGGGGAACCTCTACAGAGCCAAGTCTTATGCAGTAGAGTTAGCCTCTGCGGGTGGGGGTGTTGGTCCCATTCTAGAAGGACTGTGGGTTGTCTCTAATAAAGTGAGCCATGAAATCCTGTCCTTGGTCTCTAAGCTGATGGCAGGGATGGCCCGCAGGGTCCTGCCCTTGCAGCTCGAAGCTGCTCTGGCTTTCTGCGGGGCTACGGCAGTTTCCATGGAAATGAGAGCACAACCCTCAGAGATAAACTAATAAATGCAACCTGTAAAAGGAGAGAATGGGCAGCAAGAGAACCGGAGGGACCCAGGGGCCCGGGAGAGAGAGGCGAGTGTGGGGCAGCGGGGCCGTGGAGCAGAACCGCAGAGGCCGCAGGTGGTGGGACCCAGGAAAAGGAGGGCCTTGCAGGGGGGCTACAGTTCTTGGCAGAGAGAGAGGAGGCCTCTGGAGGTCAGAGAGAGACACAGAGAGAGCAGACAGAGCGTGGGTCAGTGGGGAGGCCTGTACTCGAGTGCCCAGGGCCTCATGGGACAGGGGACGCAGGAACCCAAGGGCCCTGGCACTCCCAATCACATGGGCCCGGCCTGCCCTCCACCTGAACGTCAGCCCTTCTCGGGGTGTCTGTGAGAGCCCCGTGCTTCTGGCCAAGGAGCCAGCCCAGGAGGTCCGGCTGCATGTCAGAGGGTTTCTGACACCCTCTGGGAGCAGAAGGGACACAGGGAGGATGCAGGTGGAACTCCATGGTGACACCTGGTCACCAGCACCTGTTCACCATGCCCCAGTCTTCACTCTGGAGAATGATGAGGTCCCTCACACTTGAGCCCAGCGCTCTGCCACTCCGGCCTCTGCACCCGAGTGTCTAGGGCAGTCAGGGGCTGCCAGGCTGACTCCTGACCTGCATCTGAGAAGGGAAACTCAGCTGGCCAGACTCCTCAGCAAGGCCTGGGCCAAGCGGGGTCCAGGTGAGGGGGTAGGAGGAAGGCTTCTGCCTGCCCGGCTCTCTGAGCACTTCCCTGGAGTCTGTACAAACATGAGAACAGGAACGAAAGCAGTCTCGTTCCCATGTTTGTGGGATGAAGGCAGGAGCCCAGAGGTGAGAAGAGGCTGGGGCAGCAAAAGCTCCAGATGAGGCCTAGCCCACTGGGCCTCCCTGGGGCACCCGCTCTGCGGCCACCCGATCTGCAGGTGCTCTTTCAAGGGCGGCAGCCAAGCCGAACCTGGAGACCGGAGCCCCAGGGGCGAGCCCATGGCTGGCCCAGAGGGTCCTGGGAGAAGACCAGCAGAAAGGCCTGGCCACTGAGGGCCACGCCGGCGCAGGGCTGGGCGCTGCCCCTCTCCCCGCCCCTGCCACCTCGCCGCTGGGCCACAGGGGCAGGGAGCACAGGGCCCAACTCTGACCTCTCGTCTCAGGCGCACTCGACGTGGGCAATGACACGGCCGCGGGGGCCTGGCACTCGCTCGGCAGCCTGCCCGGCGCACGTGGACTTGAGCATCTGGAAGACGGCGAGGGGCGCCACGTTCAGCTTCAGCAGGTCCAGCAGGATCCTGGAGAGACAGACGCGCTGCGCAAGGAGCCTCCTCGCCCGGGCCAGGCTGCTCGGCCAGAGCGGGCAGGCGTGGCCGCCTCCCTCAAGACCCCGACTCTACCCTGGGCCTCAAGGGGTCCGACAAGGGCGGTGGGGGGGAGAGCAGGAGGGTTGGGGGTCGCACAGCGCGCAGCCCGGCCCGCGCCCGCTAACTTGAACACATCGGGGTCCATGGCGCCGCCCGCCGCCTGCGCCACCTCGTACAGCTCCATCTCCTCGGCGCTCAGCACCTTCTTCCGCCGCAGTGCGAGCTTCTGCAGGGCCGCCTCCAGCCCCGGTGACGCCCCCGGCCCCGGTCCGGCGCCCGGAGCAGCCATCTGCGCGGCCGCGATGAAGTGCGCTCCCCGCCAGGCCCCTGTGCCCGTCCCCTGTCCCCAGCCCTAGCCCGGTCCCCTAGCCCCGCCACACGGGCGCGCACACAGCGACCTCTAGCGGCCCCTCCGACCATTCTTTTCCCAGCAGCCCGAACCCGGAGGGCAGGCCCGGCGCCGTCTCCCCTCGGTCCCTCGGTCCGCAGACGTGTACGCGCGCTAGGGGAAAACGTGGCCGACCGCTGAGACCCGCTCCTTGGCGATCACGGCTTCCCTGCTGGGCTGCCTCGGTCGTTGTCCCTGAGGTAGCAGCACCCAGCGCAGTGCCTGGCATCCAGTGGGCGCTCAATAAATGCCCGTGGGAGGAAGGGCAGTCAACACACTCTGTGTAATTGCTCTGCGGCGGTTCCCCACGAGAGGGCGCGCCTCGACGGCCCAAATCAGAAAGGCGCAGTCCTTTCTGCGGATACAGCGCGTGCGCCCGGGTCTAAGGGGCGCAACTGCCCCCACTGCGCACGCGTAGTCAGAGGAGGCATCCAGACACCCGGCCGGCCTTCGCTGTGCGCATGCGCCTTTTGAGGGCGTGGACCGCGGAGGCCGCGGCGCGTTTCCTGTCGGGCCACGGGGCGAGACGCCTGGCGCACTTTGTTGCCGAAGTTTCTGCGCCCAGAACTCGAACGGCGGACTCCACCCTTGAGGCAAGCGACGCTGCGGACCCCACAGGTGAGTGGCGGGACCGCCCCGCATCCTGGCGGCCTCTGGAACCTCCGCCGGCGCCGTCTCGGTCCCCCGCGCGCCCGGGCTGGAACGGCGGGGAGCCAGGCCGGCCGCGCCCTCCTGCCGCCTCCGCGCCCCGCGGCGGGGCTCGGTTACCGCGCGGCGAGCGGCCGGAGGGCGGGAGCTCCGAGGGAGAGCGGAGCCTCGGGTCAGCCGGCGGTGGGGGCCCGCCCGAGCCCTCCTCCCGTGTGGCTCGAGTTCTCCGAGCCTCAGTTTCCCCGTTTGTAGAAGGGGACCCCGAGGCTCCCCCACCGGACGCTGGTGAGCCCGAGCGGGAGCGCGCTCGGCCCTCGGAGCGGCCGGGGGGAGGCCTGGCGCGGTCCTGGCCTGTACATGTTCGCGTGTTTAAATGTGTGTGTAAATGTGATGGTTACAGTACAGGTCAGCCTCTGTGTAGGGCGGTGCTCAGAGGTGGGATCAGTAACAACGTTTTTTAAGGAGTGTAGGAGACACGCCCCAGAGACACTAGCAGGGCTGTGTCTTGCTGGAAACTCCGCGGTGATTTTAAGCAAGTCTTGGCCGCGCTGTGCAAAGGGGTCGTTTACAGTCAGCTTTCAGGCCAGTGTAGAAGAGAGAACAAATCGAAAAAATCAGGCACATATTCACTTTGCAGCTGTTGCTGGTATTCTGGCTCCAGTCAAAACAGAAATCTAAGTGCTGGGCAGGACTCAGACACACCACTGGCGCGATTAACCTAAAAATAAAGAAGGAAAATGAGAGGCAGAGGAGTTTATTTTGGGCTCAAAGAATTGCAATTCAGGGAGCAGAGATTCAGGTAGAAACCCAGATACTGTCCCGCTAGGGAGTAGAAGTCAGGGGCTTTGAAAGGCACAGAGGGAGGTTTGCATTACAAAGAAGGTTCATTGGGGTTCGCAGCAGAAAGCTAATCTTGGCTAAAAATAATTGATAAGGCTAGCCAGAGGAAGGCCAACGTCTGACTCTGGGATGAGCTGCAGGTTTCTTCCAGCGTTACTGACTTCAAAGGTTCCTGTTCTACCCCACGAGGACGTGCATAAGACCCACTTCCTTCATGGCTTCCCAGCTCCATTTAGAGCCCTTAGACATAAGTGACTGGTTGGTTCTGTTTCGCATTTCCCTGCCTCAATCAGGAAATGAACAAGGGGCCAGCTTGGAGGAAGCACTGGTCCCCCGACTTCTTCCTCTGTTCCTCCGTTGACCAGGTTCTTCTCTCTGGCGCTCAGCCTTTCCTGCCCCTGGAATTCTTTCTTGGAAACAGTTTGGTGCTTTATTTTGATGATAGCTTTATTCCCATAACGTAATACTCACCAACTGAAAATGTGCACTTGAGTGAGTTTTAGTACATCCACAGAATTGTGCAGCCGTGACTGGGATCTAATTTCACAACGTTTTCCTCACCGCGAAAGGAAAGTCTGTATCCATTAGCAGTCGCTTCCCATTCCCCCTCCCCCATCCCCTGGCCGCCACTGATCTCTCTGTCTCTATGGATTTGCCTCTTGTGGAGATTTCATATCAATGAAATCAGACAGTATGTTGTCTTTTGTAACTGGCTCCTTTCCCTTAATAGAGTGTTCTCAAGATCTATCAATGTTTTATCACCGTTTTATTCATTCTTATGGAGCAATAATATTCCATTGTGTGGATAGTTCACATTTTATTTCTCCATCAGGAGTGGACGGACGTTTGGATTGCTTCTGCTTTTGGGGCTGCTAGGAGTCATGCTGCTAGGAAAATCGACGTGTAAGTTTTTGTGTGGACGCATGTTATCATGTGTTGGGTACATACCTAGGGACGGAATGGCTGGATCATACAGTAACTTCATGTTTAGCATTTTCCGGAACTGCCCAACGGTTTTCCAAAACAGCTGCACTGTTTTACATTCCCACCAGCAGTCTATGAGAGATCCAGTCACTCCACGTCATCTTCAGTGCTGGTTCTTATCTGACTTTTTGACAGTAGCCATCCTTGGGGAGGGTGCTTTGCACCGTGGTTTTGAATTCCATTTCCCGAATGACTGATGTCAAGAATCTTTTTCGCTGTGCTTGTTGGATGTTTGTATATCTTCTTTGGAGAAGTGTCTATTCAATCCTTTGTCCTTTTTTAAATTGGGCTACTTATCTTCTTCTTGTTGAGTTGTAAGAGTTCTTCCTAAATTGTGGCTACAATCCCCTTATCAGATGTATGGTTTGCAAATATTTTCTTCCATTCTGTGGCATGACCTTCTTGATGGTATCCTTTCAAGCTCACAAGTTTTTAATTCTGATGAAGTCCAATTTATTTATATTTTTCTTAGGTTGAGTAAGGGGGGGGACAGTTATATGATGATGGATGGAAACTACACTTGTGGTGGTGAGCATGCTATAGTGTATACAGATGTCGAATTCTCATGTGCACGTGAAATCTATACAACGTTATAAACCAGTGTTACCTCAGTAAAAATAAAAACTAAAAGAAAGAAAGCATTGGCTAACCCACAGTCATGAAGATTTACTCCTATATTTTCTTCTAAGAGTTTGTTGGGAGTTTCGGTAAACTACTCCATAGCATTGCTGCCTTGGCATCCATTTTGTGTGGCCAGGTGGCCTGCGGGGGCCTTGAAATGACACTAGCCTCTCTTGAGAGTACACACCCTAGATGACGACCAGCAGAGTTGTTACCAGTTTCTCTCTGGTGGGACTTGAACCCACGATCCAGTGCCAATTCTGTTACCCATTTAGCCTCTCTCCACTGTCCCACAATCAGAGGGGACCCAAGGAAGAGTCCATGGGTGGGACTGGAACCCACAACCCCCAGCTCTTCCTTGGAGGGGTCTTTCCTGTTCAGTCTCGTAGAGTTGAAACAAAACTGAAGCTGAGCATTCTATAGCACAAGCTTTATTCAATGGCCGAAGAATAGAAAAATGGGAACAATTTCACAAATCAGCTTTTTAGCTCTAGGGGGATTAAGCAGCTGTTATATATAAGGGGTCAAGATCGTGAAGGGGAGGAATATTCGTAGGAATATGGGGAACAGGGCAGGATTTTCTGGGGAATGCGGTGCCACCCCTTTTCATCCCTTATTTGGTCTAGAATTTCTTGTCATAGCTGTGGGTAGGTGTATTATGTAGCATGATAATGCATTACACTGAGTGTATGACGAGCTGTAGGTTCTGTGTCAGGTCAAGTCAGACTATCATGTTGCCTTCAGCTGGTTTTAACTGTTTTTGACCATGTGTCAAATCCATCTTCTCCTTCCTCTCTGTGGTTTCCTGTAAGCTAAAGATAATGTGTTAGCCTTGCTTTGAGCACCATTGCGCTTAATTTCCTATGGGGTTGGTGGGCCAGGTAACAGAGTCACAAGTAAATGTAAGTTCCTCATATGGTTCCTACAGCTTTCCTTGTGAGAAGCATTCTCCTCTCCCTGCACTCTCTAGCTTTCCCTTGTTTGCCCCTTAGATGAGACCCCTGGGAAGCTCACCAAAAGCTCATGTGGTTTGAATTGTCCAATCCAGATTTAACCTGGAAAGCACTCTGCCTGCAGAACCCAATAAAGGTGTCTGCCCCAGGTCCCACCCTGCTCCCTGCCTGCTCTCTTCCTGCACCTCGTGCTGTGGCCCCTCTAGGTCCTCCAGGACCTGGGAGTAACACACTTCTCTATTTCACTTCCTCTGTGGTCTTTTGTTGAACCAGAGGTTCACCATCCAGTACCCCCAGGGTTCTGCCTGACAAATGTTAATTTGATAAGTCACCATACGTATTACAGGCATACCTCATTTTGTTGTGCTTTGCAGATGTTGCCTTTTTTGCAAATTGAAGGTGCAGGGGAAGAGGGAGAAAAACCCCCTTTTCCCCTTCTGATTCTTAAGGCTGGTCAGAGAATTAAAGATGACGCAAGACAAGTTAGCAGAAGAAAATAAAAGTTTAATATGTGCACACGGGAAAGTCACATAAGCATGAAGAATTCCAAAGACAGTCAGGGGAAATGAAGTATGTCTGTCTTTCTGGACTGAGAAGAGGAAGATAGAGGTCTGAGACTTCAAAGTGAGAGAGGCAATTTATAGAAAGATGAAAAGATTTCGTATTCGGTAAACAAATGTTTGCGTTGTCCTATCTATAGCCAGTGGGATGCAAAGGAGCTCTTTTGAGAAAATGGCCCTTGCTAGATGCCTTCTTGCCTACCACACCTAGAGTTATCTATGGTAAGAGCTTCTTCCTGGGACACAGCGTTCTACTTAATTCTTTTAGGCAGTTTGGGGGAAGGTCACATATTCTTCCAGAATCTTCTTAGCCTTGATTGTCTTCAGCTCTAAATGATCCGCATCCCAGGGTGGCACATCTTGGGGTGGCCTGCCCTGAACCCCATCAGTTCCTTTCTCTGAAACGTCCCGGGAAATTTCACATGTTAAAAGCTGAGCTGGTGACTCTGGAGAGAGAAAGTGAGTTAGTAGCCAAGTAGTATGAAATCTGAAAAGGGAGAAAAGAACATAGACTGGAATGAGGGTGAACAAGCAGAAAAGGGGTTGGATCCCGTCTCCTCACACCACATTAAACCAGTTCCTGATCCTGGGAATGAGTCAGTCCAATAAAATGGGTGAGCTTCATTCATCTGATGGGAAATGTGAATCTTCTCTTTTAATAGATAGAAGTTAGATACTATTTGCCCTGTTCCATTCACATAAAAGCAGCATTTTTCACTGATGATTGCACAAGCTTCTCCTTGCTGGGCAGTCAGAGTGTCCACAACAGGTGGATTTTGGAGGACCACAGAGGCTAGGCTGCTAATCTCTGACTGGAGTATTTTCAAAGTTTGCATGGTAGTGTTGAATGTAGTGTTCCATTACCATGGAGAGATTTAAGATTGCCTTTGCACCTGGTAATCTCCAAAGCTGGGAATAAGACTATGGATGCTGAAAACAACTTGGAGTTAGGATTTTCAAGTGGATTCTCTATGACTTCTGAACTGGCACGTTGATGTGGCCAATCTTAGGA